TCTTGCATTCTATAAACTTTTACTTATGTTTTTTGTTGGCACTGTATTAAAATAGGATGGTTGTGTGTGCATTTTTTTTTATGTTTCCTTCGTTTATGTTTTTTCTTGCAACGTATGGTTTCCAAAACTTTTAGGTATGGATATGAATGGGACATGACTGGGATGCTGTTATGAAATAGGATGGTTGTGTGTGCACGCTTTGTGAGACATGAATGGGATGCTTCTGTTCAAATTAAATGTATGGATATTTTCGAGAAAGGCAACAACGGTTTTGCTTGCTAGCTTTGTGTATGTTTATATTTTCCAAAGTACGATGTTAGTTTCATATCTTCTGTTCAACTTTTGTGGTTGTCACCACAATGGTCCCCCTGTATGACAAAAGTTTAGCAAGTTCAAGTTTTTCCCATTTTGCATATCATTATGCGTTAAAAAATACATTGGTGACGGCAGTCCTTAAATTGGGTTGTCAACATTTCGAATTTTGTAATTACAAATTTTGAAATTAATTAACTCGATGAAAGGGAAGTAAACTGATTCAAACAGTGCCACTCTTGTAGGTTTCGCATCAACAAAGACGTAATGAATCCCTGGGATGGAAGCAACAATGACGGAATAAGGGAAATGCTTAATCAAATGGCAGTTCAGGTGCAACAAGAACACAATTGCACATTTCTACAAGCATGCCAGTATGCGATAGAATGGTATGAAAAACACATGGCTAAAACGCCTTGTTGCATTTCTATACTGACCGGGAATGCATGGATATCCGAACTATATGCGGGCCATATGGGCCGATTTGAGGAAAATATTTGCATGCCGAAGGAAGTTTTTGTCGCCTTGTGTGAGGCATTAGTAAATGATTTTGGGTTACAAGTCTCGTAACGTCGTAATCTTTTGTAACTGTACATTAGTAATGGCTTCCATCCGTACTTCTCCGCGTACCCAATCCAAAAGCAAAGGCGTTGTCACTGACAAGTCAAGCAGTCTTGAAGATACACACAATCATTTAAGCCACAAGGCCACATGGGACAGTGCCTCAACCCGAGTTTTCCTGCAATTGATTGCGAATGAGATAACTAAAGGCAATCGCCCATTCCTAGTCCTCAGCCAAGCAGGGTACAAGTCCTTGGCACGAAAATTTGAGAGAAAAACAAGAAGAAAACATGCACTCAAACAGTTGAAGAATAAGTACATGCGTTTGAAAAAAGAGTGGCAAGCGTGGACAAAGTTGATGGATTTAAGCAAAGGAGTGTCAGGGATAGGGTTTGACTGTGACACCGGTATGTTTCAGGCACCTGAGGAGTGGTGGGACAAAATGGAATCGGTAAGTACATGTACTCTTATATTTCATATGTGTCATTTACCAGTACATTTTTAAGTTTTGTAGTTAAATTTTTATTAATTATATGAAATGTAACATCATTCTCTTTCATATATCTCTATTTGAACAGATAAACAAGGTGTGTGCCAAGTTTAGGAAAAAAACCTTGGAACATCGTGGCTTGATGGAGACTGTCTTCATGGGGGCATCAGCTACTGGGAAGCACCATTGGACCCCGGGCGAGGAACTTCCTGAAGTTGTTGAGGACTCATCTAATTCAGTGCACAGTTTGGGGGCCCAGCCATTTGCTGATCCGATACCCGCTGGAGTACAGGACGTGGATTCAGATTCTTCATTGGAGCATGTTCCGATCGAAAAGGGGAAAAAGAGAAAGACGCCATCAAGCAGTGTTTCAAAGTCCAAGAAGGCAACAAGTGGAGCGTCAGTTATTGCGGAAAGCATGAACACTCTGACAGATGTGGTGCGTACAAAGAATCAGCAGGTTACAGTGAGGCACGTCACAGGCAACGAATCGCTTTTTACTATTTCAGAGTGCATGCATCGCCTGACAGGTGTTACATCGCCTGACAGGTGTTACATCGCTGGTTGGTACGCCCTTATTCCACTTCGCCACATCACTTATGGATAACGCCGATTTACGGGAGGTGATGATGTGCCAGCTTGATGATGACTCTATCATAGGGTGGCTTACCCAGAAGCAGCTCTAGTGCACTACGTCGGCGCCTTTTGCAAATTTGTTCGGGCCTCGCCGGATGTGATGTAGCGCTGTTACGAGTGTTGAATATGCCTTTCCTTCTCTTGCATTCTATAAACTTTTACTTATGTTTTTTGTTGGCACTGTATTAAAATAGGATGGTTGTGTGTGCATTTTTTTTTATGTTTCCTTCGTTTATGTTTTTTCTTGCAACGTATGGTTTCCAAAACTTTTAGGTATGGATATGAATGGGACATGACTGGGATGCTGTTATGAAATAGGATGGTTGTGTGTGCACGCTTTGTGAGACATGAATGGGATGCTTCGGTTCAAAGTTTCTGTATGGATATTTTGTAGAATTGGGTAGAACGGATTTCCTTGCTAGCTTTGTGCATGTTTATATTTTCCAAAGTACGATGTTAGTTTCATATCTTCTGTTCAACTTTTGTGGTTGTCACCACCATGGTCGCCCTGTATCACAAAAGTTTAGCAGGTTCACAATTTTCCGATTTTTCATATCATCATGCGTTAAAAAATACATTTGTGATGGCAGTCTGTAAATTGGGTTGTGAACATATTGAATTTTTAGTATTGCAAATTTTGAAATTAATTGACTCGATGAAGAGGAAGCGAACTGATTGAAACAGTGCCACTCTTGTAGGTTTCGCATCAACGAAGACGTAATGAATCCCTGGGATGGAAGTGACAACGACGGAATAATGGAAATGCTTAATCAAATGGCAGTCCAGGTGCAACAAGAACACAACTGCACATTTCTACAAGCATGCCAGTATACGACAGAGTGGTACCAAAAACACATGGCTAAAACGCCATGTCGCACTTCTATACTGACCGGGAATGCATGGATATCCGAACTATATGCTGGCCATATGGGCCGATTTGAGGAAAACGTGTCCATGCCGAAGGAAGTTTTTGTCGCCCTGTGTGAAACATTAGTAAATGATTTTGGGTTACAAGTCCCACAACGTCCGCATGGTTTAGCTGTTGAAGAAAGAGTTGCAATGTTTATCCATGTGTTGAAAGGGAAGCAAAATCGGGAAATCCAAGAACGGTTCCAACATTCGGGGGAGACTGTGTCTCGGCACATGCATAACGTATTAACTTCCATGAAGCAGTTCACTGTTGTTCATTGCCGGCCCACATACAATCAGCATCGTATACATCCATATGTGCGGTCTAGACGGAAATACCTACCGTTCAAGGTACTACCGAAATACATTCTTCACATATACATGAAGAGTGTCTGTTATTTTGTTTTTATTACTAACTGGACGTGACATATGGAAAAAACAAAACACGCTATATTTTTTTAAGCAACAAAAGAATTGGGTTGTTTGCAGGACTGCATTGGCGCAATAGACGGAACACATGTAAGTGCATGGGTTACGGGGCCAGATGCAGCAACATATTTCGGTAGGAAATACTGTCACACACAAAATATCATAGCCGCAGTCGATTTTGACATGTGTTTCATATTCATTTCGTGCAGATGGGAAGGAAGTATGCATGATAGTCGCATATTCAACGAAACAATGACAGTTCTTCCCACATCCTGACGAAGGTAACACATGCCGATGTTTTGGATTTAGGGGGTTCTCTGTACAAATTTTAGGTGTCATACATTGTTGTCATGTCTGCAGGCAAATATTATCTTGTCGATTCTGGTTATCCAAACCGGACGGGGTACTTAGCACCATTCAAAGGCCACCGTTACCACCAACAAGAATTTCGACGTATTGCACGGATAGACGGCAAACACGCCAAGGGAGTTATTTAACAAAGTGCACTCGTCCTTACGCAGTGTGGTGGAACGCACCTTCGGTGCCTGGAAAAATCGATGGGGGTTTATTCGAGACATGCCTCGGTATGACTTTGCAAATGTGCAAGTTCAGTTAGTAGGTGCGTCAATGGCATTACATAATTATATACGGCGCAACACAGGTAACCCAACAACTGTTCACCCAATCTGTGACGAGGAAGAGGCTATGACAATAGTAAATGTCATACCAGAAGTTGAACATGACGAGGATGGTTTAATGGTTGGGGATGAGGACCCACATATGGCATTGGTGTGCCTTCACATACGCGACAAATTATGTTACATGCGTAATAACGGGATGTTAGGAAATATATAATAGTCGACCTAATTTCCGTAGGGTTGTAACATTACTAATGACACACGTGGAACAGACTGTATTGAAATATATTATCATGTACAATATGTATGTGTGTACACGGGGATATACCCCCTTCCAGTTGGTGACGTGCCGCACTCTGAAAAACCAAAATACACAAGATCGGAAATGCTTAATCCATTTTTTTAAAATGTAAAATAAAAAATGTGAGTGAATAAGAAAATGACAAAATCGTAAATTTTTAAAAAAAAAATGAAAAAATACGCCTCATTCAAAAACATTTAAAAAAAATAACATGAAAACATAAATCATCATTCGCCATGCAATTTACAAAAAAATGAAACACATAAATAACAAAAACAAGTGCTTCTATACCAATAAAAATAAAGGAAAAGAACTAATTCATGTAAAAAGAAAAAAAAAAGACAAAAACATAAATTTAAAAAAATAAAAAAAATTTAGCAAAATACGCCAAATCGAAACCCAAAATAGAAAAATTAAAACAAAAAAAAAAACAATGAAAGCAAAAAACGCCAAATCCACTTCCAAAATAAAAAAAAAATGGTTCGAAAAATACACCAAATCCAAACCCCAAAAAAAAAAAATTAAGAAAAGCAAAATACGGCAAATCGAAACCCAAAATTAAAAAAATTAAAAAAAACAATTAAGCAAAAAACGCCACATCCAAACCCCAAATTAAAATGAAGAAATAAATAAATAAATAAAGCAAAATATGGGAAATCCAAACCCAAAATAAAAAAAATTAAAAAAAAAAGCCAAAAAGGGTAGTTTGGTAATTTAACAGGATGACACCTCACCAAAAAGTCAAAAAGTCAAAAAAGTCCTTCCCAAACCAAGCTTTTGAGCCCCAAGCTCATATAGCCAAAAAAGCCAAAAAGCCAAAAAGCCAACTCCCTTCCCAAACGAAGGCTGAAGTCATATGAAGCGTTAGATTCACCATAAGGTTTTCACGCTTTTTATATATGGTTATAGATACAAAATAACAATAATAATTATCTCATATATACATATAATATTTATTATATGAATCAGTGTAATAAACAAAAAATCAAAAAACGAAAACAACCATTTAAAATGTTAGGGCCCAAAAACATAATAAATTGATCAAGAAATAAATATTCTAGGTGTAACAGAGAAAACTAAAATTTAATTTATATGGTATATTCTAATTTTTTTTTGTCACTTTTTAAATTAATTTTATAGATCCTTTTAACTTTTTTTTCATAAGAATTACGCAGTGACTAATATGATTTGTTTAATTTTTCACAAAATAATATTATATTCTGACAGAAAAAATTTATGTTTTAATTTAAGTAGTGATATTTACATTTTACCTTCTCTTATAATTTATTTTCATTTTTTGTTTTGTAAATATTGTTCCTTTAAATTTTTATTATTTTATATGATATGATTTTTTTTCTAAAGCAGAAATTGAATCATGTGACTATATATCTTCTTCTCTTAATATTGGGTACGTAATAATTATTTAACAAACTTTTTTTAATATTGGGTACGTAATAATTATTTATTTAACAAATTTGAAAAATACAAAAACAAAATATAAGCTACTTGTAAAACATTGAAAGGGTCCTGGCTAGGGGTATGCATAATACCGCCGACACCGCCGAAACCGCCAAAATCGCACCGAACCGCACCGCTCAAACCGCACCGACCCGCACCGCGCACACCCCTAGTCCTGGCACAGTGTGCAAGTAGCTCCTGACCATTGAATTCTTTAATTTTGAAAAATTAGACACCGGAGCAACCGGTTGACCCATCTCTATTCTCTCTATACTTTCACTTTCGTGTCTCTCTGAGTCGCCCCCTCTCTCTCTCTGCTATCCTCTCTCTACTGCACTCATTCCTCTCTCTCTCTGGCTCGGCTGAATGGTCGAAGTGGTTGTTCTGTTTAAAACCCTAATCTAACCCAGTGAGCCTCTGTTTGGTTTCTAAGAAAACAAAGGATTTGTTTTTTTGAAGTGCAACCAACAAGGTACGCCTCCCTCTGATTATTTCAGAAACCCTCCCTCTTCTTCCCCATTTTTTGCTCTGTTTTCTCTCTCTGAATTTGTATTCCAGTCTTTCCGGGCTCACACTGATTCAAAATTTGTACGAATGAAGCAAGGCTTTGTAAGGATGTTATTCTATTTTGCTATTTATATATCTCGGTTGACATTTGTAATGAAATAATCCATTTTTACATTAATTAATATAGTATTTTGTAACCATTTTGTTGCTTCCATGACTTGTTCTTGATTTGTTGCAAAATATTGCATCTTATTTTGGCATTAAAATTATAGGGCTAAATTATGTTATTTGAATTTTGATTGCATTTAAGATGTTTGTAAAAATGCCTAGTTTGTTAGCAATTTAAACAAAAGTATTTTGGAACTATATTTTCATTGCATTTAGATGTTGTTGAAAACTTGTGATTGATTTAACATGTTCTTCGAAGATTTATCCCAAAATATATTTAGTGATATTCACATGAAGCAGCTATAACTTGTGGTTGGAACCTCCCAATTTGTAAGTTAGGGCAAATAGTTATTCCAAGTGTTTTTGGTAATGTGTAGTTCTTATTGTTCTAGTTGAATTAAATAGCCATCTGAATTAAATCTTTTGTTTGATTGGTTTTTAAATATATATATGTGTATTGAAAAGCCAATGTAGTTCACATACAATAGAAATACTTCCAAAAATGCTAATCAAATAGTGCTTGAACTTCATTTGTATCCTTCTTTAAGCATGAGCAGTTGACAAGATAACGAGAAAGTGACTCTAACCAACAAAACAACTTTGAAAAGCTAAAAAGAATTGAAGTATATGATTTTAAATTTTAGCTAAAAAGTAGTCAACGTGAGGCTTATGCTTAATAAAATAAATTTCTGCATCCTTTTTCCAAAGTATATTGGTGCTAAGAGAATCCATGAATTATTATCTTCCCTCTAAGCATGGAGGCTTTCCTAGCAACCATGAAAGATTAGTGCGAAACTTTAGAATTGAGTAGTGGGTAGGTAGTGTGAGAAAGGGAAATTTTTGAATTTTTCTTCCCTTGTTTGTTTGCATGATAAATTTATCATGATAATGTTGGAAAATGTAAGATTGTTAAATTTTGTGTACAATCCATAGCAACATGGTAAGTTGCTTTTCAATTTCTCGCAAAATATACATAAATGTTTCTTGCAAAAAACAGAGAATGTTTTTTTTCACTATTTTGTCACTTTTGATTTTCTGTCTAAACATGCAGCTTTTTACACTTGGTTAATTTTGACCTAACGAACTGTACTTTGTTTTTCGAGTAACGTTCTTATGACAAGAGATGTGCATAGTAGCATTTCCTTTATATATGTATATTATATACTTGTAAAATTTATCTTATAAATGCTATATTTTTTGGGACAAGTATCTTAGATGATTGGTTTTAGTTGGATTGTTTATATACATATGCCTAAGAGGAGGGACGAATATCATCAGGATAGTGTAATTTAGTAATTTCAATTTGGGGACCTACATCCCAAGGACGTTAGGGTTGCAATTAATAAATCAATAAGAATTTTTTTTATAATTACAACTAAAATGAGAAGGTGAAAAGTAAATATAAAGAGGTGGCAATCGCCTATTTGATTTACCAAAATATCCTTCTCTTCTTCCTTTTTCCTTCCCTTTGCTTTGGAAATCTGGTCACTGAGTCCCATAAAACCAATTTCCTCCCTCCTTGACCAACCCCAACACCTTGCCTGCCACCACCAAGCCCTCACCCACCTGTCCTGTCCCTCCTCCACCACTTGAAACCCCTCCCCATCCATTTCCATCACTTCCTCATGCTACTCTCGTCTACCTCTTTTACACAAGCCCCTTCCAACCCCACCCAACCTAACACCCTAATCAACCCAAACTCAAGTCATCAGAACCCCACCAAACTCCTCCAGTCCCACCCCATCTCTACTCTGCACCATCTCTCTCTTAACTATTGTTGAAAGATACAAGTCCAAACTATGCAAGGTGGTGATGATCTACTCCCAATGTTTTGGCCTAATAATTACATGATATGTATGGAGTGGGAGAATCATGAAGGAATATGTATCAAACTTTTAAAAACAAAGAATAAAAGAGAGAATATTTGTGTTATGTATTTCTATAAATTATTAAATGGTTGAACCAACAAGTAAAATGATAAAGAATGCAAGCTTTGTCAAGATTGCTTATTTGGTATCTAAATGTTTTGACTTGTACATAATAATCCATACAAAAATTGGTTGAGACTTAGAGCTTATGTGCCCCACTTCGACGTAAGTTTCCAGACTAATGGCTAGACTCAAGAGTTGTATCCATTCACGTTTTGAAAAATCCATGAGAAACAAGAATCCGTTTCAATATGCTACCCCTTAAGGGTAGCATATAATATTCTCCCTAACTATTGGCTCTTTTTATTTATTTATTTTAATTGCTGGAAGGGTTGGTTTTGGTACGTTAGTCTAAGTCTTTACGTAATGGCTATTGATAGTTCAAACAAATGTTTTAAAAGTTTCATCTCTTGTATTGTTTATGTGGTTTGTTAATGTGAAAGCATATGTGGAAAATGATATTTGTTTGCTTTTAATTGATAGCATGGCACTGGCGGGTGTGCTAATTTATTTATTTGCTTTTAATTGATAGTAGGATACTGGCAAATGTTCTAATTTATTTGTTTTCTTTTAGTTGATAATAGGGCATTACTAGGTGTGATACTTTTTTCTGTTTGCAAATGATGATAGTTAAGGATTGGAGATGCTCTAAAGTGTACTATTATTGTCAGTCATACTCTATTGAGGTGTGAATTTATTGGGTTTTATGCCATGCTTGGGACTTTTATACCACGTTGTGAGTCCCAAACATGGTGTAAAATTCTATAAAATTAAATCACATAACTAGAATTAACATATCAAAAAATATATATTTAGAATTAAATTACAAAAAAATTACTTTTGTGAAAATACTAAGGATATCAAGTGAATGAGGATATCGCAGGTATACTTTATTGTCTTGATGTGCATATTTTTATATGATTTTATGTTATTAAATTTTGTCTATGTAGACTTAATGAAAATTTTACACTTCTTGATGATGTGATTGAAGGTGTGGTCATAATGTGGTTTAAAGTGTAGTCTTGCATGTGTGTTATTTGAATGAAGTGTGTTCTTTGATCTAGTTTATACCCATTGGAAAAAAAATAAAATAAAAAAATTCTAGCGTTGCCACTAATTATACACTGTTTTGAAATGTGAAACACATGGGTGGCAATTACACTCTATTTTCAAGTGTCTGGTTATTAGGCATTACATTTTTAATTTGGGTTTTGAAATATAAGTAGTTTCATTCATATGCAATTTGTAATATCCTTAATTGTTAGTTGCCATTTGTAAGAAGCTGCATTGGTTGCATTGTCATTGATTACCGTGATACAGAAGGACATGATAATCATAGTAAAATTGAAAATATTTGTTTGGATTTGGTCCTTGTGGCTGCATTGTCATGGCTTGAACTAACACCAGTGTGGTTTGATCTCCATATTTTGTAAGGCTACCATCCTCTTTGTTTGTTTGTTTTTTGTTTATATGCTTGAACTGAAACGTTTGGTCTTGCTCCATTGAAGAAAAATGTTGTAAGAGGGATTCCAGGTTCTACAACATTGCAAGGCATCTTGCTTTATCATTTTTTGTTATAAAGAATATAGCATAGCATTATAGAAGATTTGATTAAGAACGATAGGCTGTTGGACTGACTCAAGTAACTTCTCCATTAGCTTGGTCAGAAGGGCTTTAATGAAATGTAATAATTCTTTGGTTTAATTAATTGTTTAACTGTTGAAACTGGTCTATGCTTTTTTCCTTAAATTCCTTAAATTGGATTGATCAATGGAACGTTAAAATTGTTCTTTCTTCCTCCTTTATTTTCTTTTACGTGACAATGGGATCTAGACCTTCCAATATCAATTGAAGCTTGTTGATTATGGCTTGCCTTATGAAAGTGTTCCATGCGAGCTAAATTTAATTTATTTATTTTTTAGCGGATGGCTTTCTAGGCTTATTTTTGCCTTATTATTTGTGTGGGTGCTTTAAGTTTTTCATTGCCCCATGTCTCCATGTTGATGCTAGAGATAAGAATGTCACAATACCCCTAACATAAACAAACACACACCATCCCCATTATTTTTGTTGCTTTCTCTTGTTGAACCCATCATAAACACCACTACCCAAATTGGAAATAACAATAGTCAGCACCCTTTACTATTTTGAGTAGATTTTAAATTTTCCAAAGTGTCATCCCAAGGAACGGAGTGGCCACATAATTACATATAGAACATTGACTCTATATAAAATAGATGATCATATGAGATAGAGAGATTTTGGTTTTGATTTTTTATTTAAGTGCTAATTATTGGTGGAATTTTATGGCAAGTGTTTGTGGTTTTGTGTTTTTATCAACTTGTAGCGTTTGTAAATTTTCGGCGATTGATAGAATATTTTGATGTACTTCAAGAATGATATGTTTTTTTTCTTAAACTAGTATTGATTTTTCTAATTTCACCATCTTTGTCTTTTTTTGGAACCGTTCCTAAATTTTGTGTTTCAAGTTTATTTTCTAGAAATTCAAACCTCAACTTCATCGTTATGTTTCCAATGTATTGGTGTTGTTTTTTTTTATGATTTTGCAAACGGATAGTCTATTATGGTTTTGTTTTTGTTCAAGTGTTCTATGGTTATTCTACCTTGCACGTGTGCACACATACTGGCAAGGCGGGTAAGTACAAGGTTAGGTGGGTTTCTGATTCGAGACTTCTCTCTTATTGCCAAAGTAATCTTGCCTTTTGCCAAGTCAAATGACTATTAATGGGAAGAAGAAAAAAAAGAGCTCCTAAGATTCAATGAGGAAAGTTGACTTAGGTAATTATGTTTATTCACTAAAAGAATTACCTTGGAAACAAGTAGCCTAATTGAAATTGAAAGTTAAAAAACATATTTTATGAACTATTACTCAAATTGAATTTTTTTGATCTGTCCTTTGACAATTCCAATTCCAATTCCATTTCAAGATTGTATAATATAACTTTTTGTAGAAGATCAATATATATATGCATTACTTCTAGAGGCTTTAGTCTTACTAGAAGGGAATCTAGTGTAATTATGCCAAATTTGTGAGGTTTATTGTAATTTACCAAATTAAATTGTGAATGAATGACTTCTTTTTTTTTTTGAACTAGTGAATGAATGACTCTGATCCACGATAATTAATGGATCTTTCCTATGGTTATGGTTGAAGAGTTCAATTGCAGGGTCACATGAAAAAAAAATGTAAAAGCCTTCCATGTTACTAAATTTTTGTCTTGTATTGTCTTTAAGGTTGAGATATTTTAAGTTCGTAAAATATACAAAGCAAGGATGTCTCTCATTGTTATTTACACATAAAATGAGTTTGTCTCTACTGGCTTTGACAAAGAGTTTGCAAGAGGGGAGTTGTTGTATTGTGCAAGGCTTGAAACTTGCATTCCATATGCAAGTTAATTTTCAGCCATTGGATTTGATTGAATTAATCTAAACCCTTCAATATTTTATATAGTTTATACCATTTACCTGTGAAACCAGTTGAAACTTTCCTAGCCATTCTCTCTACTTCATCAGTCACGTTTCTCTCTCTCTGGTTTGGCGAAACAGGACTCCCCTCTTTCTTTTCCAGTCATTCCACGAATGAAGATCGAAGTCGCAGGCTATGCAATGATTTGAAGAGGTATTCACCCAAAAAAAGGATTGAAGAGGTTTGACTATAATAACCCTAAAATTTTCTCACCCTTGCTACTAATTTATGGTTACTCACTCTCTTTCTCTGATTTCGCAATCCATGCTCTTGCTCTTTATCATCTCTCACTCTCGTCTCTTGCTTTCGAAGGCTTCTTGAAGATCTCTCTCTTCTCCAGTAGCTTATTTGTTTGAAAGAGTTCTCATTGAAGAGGTATGGCTTGAAATCCTTGGTTGTTTAGTGGTGATTCTCCCCCTCTTTGTTCAATCTATTATTCTTATAGGTTAAAAATGGAAGCGTCAGTACTTGTCCAAAGGTGGGCGGCTCACTTTGATCAATAGTGTCCTATCCAGTATGGGATGGTTAGAGGGGGGTGGTGTTCAAATCGGGTCAGTCAATCACATGGTTGTAGTTTGTGGAAGGGGATTTGGTTGGGTAGGAAGACCTTTTGGGATAGGGTTCGATTTAAAGTGGCGGTAGGGGATCGGGTTCGATTCTGGGAAGATAGGTGGTGTGGCGAGTTGTCTTTGGCGGCTATGTTTCCATTGATTTTTGCTATTGCCGCTAATGTGGAGGAGTTGGTTGCTTTGGTTCGGGTGCAGCGAGGGCAATCATACACGTGGAATCTTCATCTACGTCGTAATGTGCAAGATTGAGAGTTGGACCAATTGGTGGGTTTGTTGGGTTTTTTGTATGAGTTGCAGTTTGGAGGGGATGGAGAGGATACTTTATTATGGGAGGGTTCGAGGGCTAAAGGGATTTTTTCGGTGTCGTCATTTTATGGGATGCTTGAAGGCGGAGGAGTTAGGGTGTTCCCTTGGAAGAACATTTGGGCGGTGGGATCACCGTCCAAGGTTGCTTTCTTTGTTTAGATAGCTGTTTTGGGTCACATTTTGACTATTGATAACTTAATTCAGCGACGACATGTGTTGGTTAATTGGTGTTTTATGTGTTGCAGGGATGCGGAAACCGTCGATCATTTGTTTATCCATTGCTTGGTTGTGTTTCGGCTTTGGAATTTGATTGTTGCTTTATTTGGTTTGGTTTGGGTGTAGCCGGGGTCTATGTTGGGTGTTCTACAAAGTTGGGGTGGGGCTAGGATGGGCAAGAGGCGTCGGAAGGCTTGGGTACTTGCTTCTCATTGTTTGTTTTGGTTGATCTGGTTGGAGTGCAATAGGCGGGTTTTTCAAGATTTGAGTCATTCGGCTCTTTGGTTAGAAAGTAGGTTACTTTTGGTTTTGTATAGTTGGGTAAAGGGTTTGGTGGATCCTGATGTTTTGACTTTTGTTGATTTTGTGGAAGATTTGATTAGTTAGTTTTGCGCCCAGTGTGGGGTGTTGGTTTCCCTTATGTATTAGTTGCATCGTCTTGATGCTTTCTTAGTAAAGTTTGTTTATTTATCAAAAAGAAAAATGTCACTCAAGTTGTTATTGTTGTACGTTGTGTAGATTGGAAGTTGCTTATATGAAAAATAAATATGTGGAATATTTGAACTAAAGAAAAATGTGCATAATGAAAAACTTTTTGCAAAGTGTTGGAATCCCATATTGTCAAAACCAAAATTAATCTCTAATTGTCTTTTTATATTTACAAATACTATAAATTGCAGTTCTTTTTTTTTTGGGTCTGTTGCTATCTTATTTTTTAAAAAATAAAAATCCTTATTGAAATTGCTGATTCTTTTGTTGTCCCATTTTTCTTATATGTGTGCTTATTTTTTTAAATATTGTTCAGTTATTAAAGGAAAACATTTGTGCTAATTTTTTGTGAAGTATTTTAGAACAAGTAGTCAAACTATGAGGAAACCATGTGAAAAATAGGATAGTTGAACTATGTGCATGGTGGCGAGTGGTGATACTTGACTAATCAAGACACTGAACGTGATTTCAAAATACCGAACATTAATATTTTTTCTCTTTGAAGTAAGACTTTATTTTAATTTTAATTTTTCGTTTTTGTTTCTGGTATCGATATTGGCAACAGTTGATAGCTATTGGATGACTTTCAATTTCTTTTAATTTGGCTCCTTTTTAGGGCAACAATTTTGATTCTAAATTTGTCTTTAGTTTGTGTAATTAATGATTTTTGCATTCATTTCACAAATCACAAGTGTCGTGAATGATTTTTGGGTAGTGTTTGGGTGTGCAATATATGCACCTTAATTCTAAACCATTAGATTACTTAAATTTGATCTTAATAATGGTGGAAAATAGGCAACCGGGTTAACCGGTTAACCTTTAGCTCTCCCCTTTACTCTTAGCCTCACTCTTTTGTTTCTCACTCAGTTGCTCTCCCTCCGTTGGCTTTCCCTCTGTTGCTCTCACTCCAGTGGCGAAGGAGCTGCTCAGGAACCACCGCAGCCATTAATAGCAGGCTGGTAGCTTTCAGTTTCAAGAACATCAGTCCGCTCAGATTCGTATGATCGAAGAGAGTCTCTGATTTGCTGGTGTTCTTGGTGCGTTCTAATATCTTATATCTTTCTGTCTATCTGAATATATTTTGATGATCTGATTTGATTTCATTTAAATAAACAAGACATTCTTATATTTTCAATTGTTTTGTTGAATCCACGATGGAATGCGATGGTGATTACATCTGTGGCTGGAGGATTTTGCTGCATTCGTTCTTGGTGCAAAATCCCTTGGACTTTGCCTGTCGAAGCCCTAGGTCACCGCTCTCTCTCTCTCTCTCTCTCTCTGTATTTTCTAAAATCTAGTATATATTTTGGTCCATTTTGTGAGGCGTTATTCCGGTTATGCTTGTGTTAATATATAAATCTGCATATTCTTTCGCTCATATGCTTTCTCTCATTGCATTATGTGAACTTTAGTTGCTGATTTTTGCTCCTTTAAAGTTCATTGTTTGTCGGGATGAAGCCCGTATCACCTATTTATTATAATTTTCACTAACCCTTCATTTTGGCTGCTTGGAAAACCTAATACGAAGAAAAGAAGTGATCCAAGTTTCCATACTTTCGTTTGCTGAGTTGCAATATGCTTACTTGTGCAGATTTTATTTATTTTTATTTTTTTGTTTTTTTGTTAAATTTTTCATATTCTAAACTTGAACTTCTGTGTTTTTCTCATATTTTCTCTGCAATCTAACACAACATATATATATATATATATATATATATTTAACTATTTACTTGGGAATTAAGCAATTTTCTGATATTAGAGAAGATGTTTATGTGGCTACTCACTCTACTATTGGACTATTATTAATTAAACATGTTAATGTCTACTTAACTACTCAAGGAAAACATGAAGTTCTCCATAATTTGTATTTAAAACCAGTGAGATTTAGATTTGTCTAGAAATTATATTTTGTAATAATGATATCCTTTGTTCCTTTCTTTCTTGGACTTTTTTTTTCCCCCCTTTTCCACAATTGTCACTTGGATGCTCCAAATATACAATTATAGTTAGGAAAATCAACACCACTTATTAATAGCTCTTTATTTGTAATTTTCATTGATGAGATTATTTGGTTTCCTCTGCCTATCAATTTCGAGTCAACTTTTAGAGCGATAAAGAAGTTTTGATTGCTTTCTTGTAATGAAATAATTTGTGAATATGTTCATATTTTGGCATGTATACATTTGTTGTATTTCGGAACCATATTTTTGCTTCAATCTTTTTGAACAAGAAGTATATAAACTACAGCTTAATTTTTCCTTTTCTTCTAATTTTTTATGCACAATGAAATAGCTACATTTTTTTTCTTCTCTTGAGAAGATAGTGAACTTCAATGCACACATGTGCACACATGTGCACACACGAACAAATGGACAAAAATTGAAGCCATGAGGATATGAACTAAGGTAAAGATAAAAACATTCACCATGAGATTTTTTTCTATAATAATTATGTCGATTGAGGTTTGTGATTTTTTTTCTTGATTTCAAATTTGTTTTGTAATGTGTTAAATGTGACTTTCTTAAAAGATAATAATGTAGTTATATTTTGTTGCATTAGTCATGGGGTGGGTTATATACCAATTGATTGGTGTTAAAAGAGTGGAAATCTTGACTAGCCAACAAAGTTCATTTTTATCGTAGGAAAGTTGGCCCTTGTTGTTTCAATGGGTTTCCAATGAAAGAACTTGAAATATGGGCTTCATGACAAAAAATCGAATAAAGCATTTGAAGTGCTCGATAGGCTTGAAGGAGGCCAATAACTATTGGTGGGTTGAAAAAAGTGGAGTTGGCTTAGGGATCTATTTTGGATAATTAATATATGGAAATTGTGACTCTAAATAATTTTTTTTTTTGAGCTGCTTCTGCAATGTTTGATTTGAGTGCAACATATTCTCAAGAAAATATAAGCAACAAATAGTAAGTAGATTTTGATGATCAACATTATGAAAGAAACCTGCATTGCGTACTTAGATGGTTCTTATAAAACGAAAGTGAGATTCTAAGTAACATTCTTGAATTGTGACATATACTATGAACATAACCTTAAATTAGCAGCCACTTGCCAGTTTTAAACCAAAACAAAACACCAATTATGTGACTCATGCGAAAACCAAATTTGAAGAATTCGCAGATAAGCACATGTATGTGAAGATGTGTTTTGTCTTTTTGTTTTGTAGTGCATTTGTGTATAGTAGCCTTTTTTTTTTATTAAAGGTACTAGCATGGCCTTTCACTTGGAGCACTCTTCGAATAATAGGCATGATGACTCTTGTCAAATGGTTTTGAAATGGATTTCTATGAAATGAAATGGGTCTCTTTCTGTTAGAATATAATATGTAAAATGTTGCTTTAATAATTAGGTTAGTATAATAATTAGTATGCTTTAATAATGTACCTTTAATAATGTTGTTTGGTTTGTGCTTCTACTTTCGGTTTGTAATTGTTCTCCCTCTCCTCTATAAAGGAGAGAGCTCAACACACCATCATATACAACAATCAATAATACAATCATTTCTCTTTATACATTAAATTTCTACATGGTATCAGAGCAAGGTTAAAGATCTTGGTTTTTTTCGCCTTCCGGCGGGCGGCGACCTTGCCTTGACCGCCCGCCGGATCTCAACCAATTCAACCCTCCCTCTCCCTCTCGGCACCTCACTTTCTCTAAGCATGATTACATACCTCCTGCAAACGATTAGCACTGGTTTCAACAGTAGCAGTTTTGTTAATCCCAACCTCATAACACCTGACAATGAACTTCTCCTTATAGGAGAGGCCATCGCCGTTCAAGCTCCCAAGGCGGAGACGGTCCGCCATAGGTTGATCTCCACTTCAGTGTCTCTTCCAACATTTTCACATTCCAGTTCCGGGCATCCAAATACCTCTTCCAGCATGCATCAGTGCAATACTTTAAGTCACGGTCTGATAGTGGTCCAAGAGCAGCCTTGAGCTCATTAACCTTATCCTCGGCCTGCAGCTTATCATTCTCCTGACCATGATTCCAGAGACGAAACATGGTGACTGGTGAGTGCTTCCACAATCCGGCTGTTGAGTTCAACCTATAACTGCAGACAAGAAAGGAGGAGACCCATCTCTTGACTGAGAGAGTTGGCCCCTTGTGTGTGTATCCCTCTTAGCCACTGATCCGTGCCTTCTCCTCATCTTGATTATTTTTTTATTGATCTCCTCCTTCCACCAAAGAGAGAACCCATCCTGGCAAGCGAGAGCACATGCATATGTGTGTTGTTTTTTCTCTCTCCCATGTGACCCACCCACTGTGAAAGGTCACCCAATGCACACCATCATTCAACACGATCCCCGAAGACATCATGTTGTTCCCCACTTTCTTTATTATATATATATATATATATATATATATATCTCTTTTTATTATATTATATTAAAAAAAAAAACATCATCATCTCTCCTCCGTTTGATTTCCAACTCCATTATTTTTATTTATTTTCTCCAAATCACTTTTAATCTCTTTCAAATACCCACTTTTATTTTATTATATCATCACCATACCCATCATTCTTTTCCCCACTCAAATATATTATACTAGCCTTCATTGATTCCACTGGCTTCCAACACTTCATTTTATTTCTTATTCTTATTATTATTTTCACCAAAAAAAAAAAAAAAAAAAAACTACATTCATTCCAGTTGATTTTTCTGCCTTACCACACCTCCCATTCGAGTTTGCAAAACACAATTTACCAATTTGCACAACAAACCATATTCATCTCAGGGATCAACCCCGATCGGAGAACAATTACAAACCGAAAGTAGAAGCACAAACCAAACAACATTATTAAAGGTACATTATTAAAGCATACTAATTATTATACTAACCTAATTATTAAAGCAACATTTTACATATTATATTCTAACAGCCCCCCTCAAACTCAAGGAGGATAGGAACCAACCATGTCATAATCATGGAGTTTTCAGCGTCCCAAGCTGGCTATGGAAGATATCTTCAAACCAGTTTGAGGGGGAGTGCTGGAAATTTGTGTTAATGCATATAATAAGATAGTGGCATATGATAGTAGTGTTGGTGGTAGATAGTGGCATGTATAGAATATGATAGTGGTGTTGGTGGTAGATAGTGGTATGTATAGAATATGATAGTGGTGTTGGTGGTAGATAGTGGCATGTATAGAATATGATAGTGGTGTTGGTGGTAGATAGTGGCATGTATATAATATGATAGTGGTAGATAGTGGTAATATATAATATGTAAGTGGCATATAATGGGTTATAATGATGTTTGTAATATCTCCTATATAAGGAGTGTCATTTGGTCTTGTAAAATAAGAAGTTTTGAATATAACAGAAATATATTCCTTCTTCCTCATATTTTTGGAGTTCTTCTTCCTCATATTTTCTAAGTCTTTCTATTAAATGATTCTATGAATTTCTTTGTCCAACTATATAGATGGATTTTTATGAAATGGGTTTGATGGGTTTCCAATAAAATGAAGAGGCGTGAACAAGGGATGTCTATTACAAATAAATTTTCTAAGGAAGTAGTGGTTCTTGAATGATAGATTCGTGTCTATTTCAAAGTCAAGGTTTTGGGAATTGATTCATTTAGATCACAACTTTCAGTTAAGGTTGGGACTCGCCTTTTGCATCAAAATTCAAATTTAGCAGAAGGTAGAATGTTGGAGGTTTTAGAGTACTTGATTATCTTACTAATTTTATGAAAGCATAAAGAGATGTATTTTTGGAAATAGACTTGTGCACTTGTGGTACGTGTTTTAAAAATGGTAGACTTAGCAGGAAAACATGGCAATTTTTTTGGAGTTCTTCCCTCCCTTTGAGTCTTCTTATAGGTTTTGCTATTCCCTTTGTATTATGTTAGATGGTGCCAAGATTGGTTTATGAGGGTGCTTAATGGATTAAAGCGAAAACAATTAAATATTGTGCAATTGCACACTTAACATGCCAAAAAAAAAAAGAGAAGTTTTTGGTTACGCACTCTAGTTCTCTGGATTATCAGAATTTTGAACAAGGGTTAGTGAAACTACGAATTAGTTTTTGGTCAAGCACTATAGGGTTTTTGCCAAAATTGGTAAGAATTTTATACTATTTTTGTCGATAGGGTTAACATTAATTAATTAATGTAGTATCTAGGAACCATAATTTTACTTGTCGGGTTTTTGCTAAACTGGTAACAATTTTATATGTAGTTTCATTCATATAAAATTTGTAAATGTCCTTAGTTGTTAGTTGCCATTTGTAGGAAGCTGCATTGGTTGCATTGTCATTGATTATTGTGATACAGGGAGGACATGATAATGTTCATATTGGTGTCAATCATAGTAAAATTGAAAAATGCTACTCTCCAAAAAAACTGTTTGGATTTGGTCCTTGTGGTTGCATTGTCATTGCTTGAACTAACACGTTAGTGGTTTGAACTCCATATTTTGCAAGGCTACCATCCTCTTAGTTTGTTTGTTTGTTTTTATTTTTATTTTTATATGCTTGAACTGAAAGGTTTGGTCTTACTTTAGAAAATGTTATAAAAGGGGTTCCAAGTTCTAGAACATTGTGAAGCATCTTGCTTTATCATTTTTCGTTATCAAGAATATAGCATTGCATTATAGAAGATTTGATTAAGAACAATAGGTTGTTGGACTGACCTGAGTAACTTCTTAGTTAGCCTGTTCACAAGGGCTTTAATGAAATGTAATAATTCTTTGGTTTAATTAATTGTTTAACTATTGAAACTAGTCTATGTTTTTTTCCCTTTAATTGGATTGATCAATGGAATGTTAAAATTGTTCTTTCTTCCTCTTAATTGCATCTTGCTTCTTATTTTATTTTACGTGACAATGGGATCTAGACCTTCCAATATTCATATACGTAAGCATCACCCATTGCTTCTACAATATATAAAGGATATAGCCTTGCCTAACAGTTAGTAAAAAAGTTGAGAGTAGATGTCAAAAATGAGAAAATATGTAAATGTGTAGCACATCCAATTTGTAAGGAGAAAATGCATAACATCTTTGTCATATATTTTTGTTGGATATGTCGTTTGATATTTGAGCAACTGGTGGTTGTTATTTGCTGTAAACTCTTGATTGTGATGTGCAAATCCATGAGTCTTCTTTGTGGTAATTGAGGCTTCTTTGTAGCATTGATTTGGATTAAGTGAAAGGGACTAAAGTGAGATTTTAGTGACAGTGTAATGACTAAAATGATATTTTGATAAAAATACAGGGATGTTAATGAGACCAAAAAAAATAAATAAAGAGAGAGCCACGTTTGGCTCATAAACGAGTTTGGTAGATTGATAGAAAGAAAAAAAAATTATAGATTGATTAGTCAAAACTTCCTGTTTGGCTTTGAAGCTAGAAAAAACTAGCTTTCAGGTACTGTGAGAGTGGCAGAGGTTTGGGCACCGTCTAAGATTTATGAGGGTTTGTTTGTTTTATTCTTTGATGTAGTAGGGTGTGGGGTGGTTGTGTTTACCACTGTTCAAATTTGTACCATCTTTGGATGACTATGAATTTACACTGAACCTACAGTAGCGAAGATTACAAATACCAATTGCAGAAAACCCACCGTCGCAATTTTTTTTTTTTTTAAAAAAAATCAACATGCATTCAATTTTGAATTTGCACTAACCCAGACTTTTATTTTGTCCTCTTTAGCAGGTATAGCCATTCGGATTGGTAGGGTCCTTGATGTGGTGAAGCGGTTGGAAAAACACCTAAGCTTGTATGGACAAAAGGTAGGTCTAGATGCACGAGGAACTAAAATCTATGTAAGTGACATTGAATGAATTGACAAAAAAAAATGTAGATACTCCTCATGAGGATGGAGGACAAGGTAAGGATGAGGAACACGAAGAAGAGTTGGGAAGACATGAAGATGATGATGATGAGGGAGATAAAGAAGAGTCGGGAACAGAAGATGTTGAAGACGGAGATGAATTTTTTAAGGAGCCTTGACCTTGGCCTTTTCATTGTTTTTATAGTTGAACATGTTAATGGGTAAAAAAAAATGTAGATACTCCTCATGAGGATGGAGGACAAGGTAAGGATGAGGAACACGAAGAAGAGTTGGGAAGAGATGAAGATGATGATGATGAGGGAGATGAAGAAGAGTCGGGAACAGAAGATGTTGAAGACAGAGATGAATTTTTTAAGGAGCCTTGACCTTGGCCTTTCCATTGTTTTTATAGTTGAACATGTTAATGGGTTTTGTGGTTGTCCCAATTTGTTTATGAACACTTTTTTCTTACTTTCGGGAGTTTAGTATGATATGTTTCGTGTGCACAAAAAATTTTATGGTTGGTGTTTTGGTAAATATGACCACAGCAGGTTGTTTATTGTTTGGAATATTGTAGTAAATTGCCTTTTTTTCCTACCAAATTTTTGAAAATTGTCAATGAAGGTAAGTTGCTTGATGTTTGAAATATGATATATTGTGCTTGATGTTTCATTTATTGAATAGTAATTTATGAGGAGATTGTGAATGATACAGCTTGTTAACTTCAGACCTTGTTATTATAATCATTTCTAATTTGTAAGCCCATGGACTGACTAAACACTTAAGATTTTGGCTTTTAGTTTTTATTTGGATTATGGCCGATGGATTGGCCAATTGATTTCTATCAAGGTAGTGCATTTTCCAATCAATTTGAAAATTGATTGGGGACTCATTAGTCAATCAATTCTTGCAAGAAAGTGGAAATACCAATCGATTGGCCAATCCATTTTCGAGCCCATGGCCATGACAAACAGAAAAATAAATAAATAAATAAATGCCAAAGTTTGGCTTCCTTGTATAATTTGCTTGAATATTGTTTACAATCGATTCATAGTGAATCTATTTGGCACTAGATATGTTACAATCTCACAATCAATTGGAGCAAATTTGTATTGTTTAAACTTGGTTGGCAATGGTACACAATCAGTTGTGCAATCAATTGCTCTGTACTCTTGCAATATGGATGCATTTTGTGCTGAATAGATTGGCATCCATAATCAAATTTACAACCATACACATCAATAATCTACACATACCTGGATTACCAAAATCAAATTTACATCCACATTGCATCATCCATAAAGAAGCCATCCAAATTATATCATGTCTATACAAAAAATGGTCATTGATCACTTTTGGTGAAGGGGTTAATCATCCATGTCCATTTGTTGGCCTTTAAATCATCGTTGGAACCTTCACCTCCATCAAATTTCTCCTCACTATAGGAACATAAAATGGCCCCATCCACATATAAATTATCAAAAGTATATGCTTCATTATGAAGGTCAACATTAGGAAGGTAAGGATATTGTTATCGCGTCACGTACCAAATAACTAAGATTTTTGAGATGGGATACATGCTCTCGTTAGAAACTAGACACATATTTTTGTTCTTGTTAGAAACTCGATCTTTATACCACATTCTAGGCAACTTTTGTCTAGAATCATATATTGCAGAAACTTCCTTATACCGTTTATCTACAACAATCCGATTGAAGTGAATAAAGAATTGAACAATGTTATGATCACCTTTTCAAATATCCCCTTAATGTTCCATTTAGACTTTCACTAAGTTGTGTGCTTCGCATTCCTCCAGTAAATACCCACTTCATATACATGTGCGCCCATTGCTATTTTTTTCTCCAAGTTCTTTTCATCCACTCATTCTCTTGCAAGTTGTATTTATCAATCAAAGAATTCTAAGCTTCAATTAATTCATGCTCATTCTCGTAGTCATAAATGCAAGCTTTTAAATTGCTACTAAATTTTGAACCAAAAAAGAAAAAAGAAAAATGGTACCGTTTCATAGAATGGCAGGCACGGCAGCAAACAAGGGGTCACTACGGTCCATCATTCCCGGCTGCCGTGCCTGCCATGCTATGAAACGGTACCATTTTTCTTTTTTGTTTTTTTGTTTTTTTTGTTTATAAGAGTTACATTAATTCTTATTTTATTATAACAAAACAATTTATCTACCTGTCGCCATCTTCCCTACCCCTCAAGCAAAAGGTCCCTGCTTTACATGGAGTAAAAAAAACTAGCTATTTTTTATTATTTTTTATTTATACATTTTTGTCTTCTCTCAAACGGATTGAATGGTGTTCTTTGTCTTTGCTTGACCGTCCTTCTCTCGGATTTACGGACCATTATTGTTCAACAAACTGGTATGTATATCTCTCCCTCCATATATATATGTATGTATGTATATATGTTTCGTATTTTATTTTGTATAGTGTATTAGTGGGTTCAACAAGCATAATGGTTTGGTTTGTTTTCTGTGAATGGATTGAGAAACACAATTGTATATTATAAGAAAAATTATTTATTATGTAATTTTTGTATACATGTTATGTATTTTTGTATAAATATTATATAATTTTTTTTATGAGTTACGATAATTTATAATTCATAAATATTTTTTTTGGTAGCAATGTTACGTATTTTTGTGGTAATATTACACATTTTTATAACAATGTTATGTGTTTTTGTAGCAATGTTATGAATTTTATGGTCTAAAAAAAGTTTCAATAAAAAAAATGTATAACCTTACTACAAAATACAAATTTAATTTTTTAATCATAAATTATCATAACCAAAAAAAAAATGACATAAGATTTGTGACAGAAATACGAAACATATACCAAAAAATTATATAATAAGAGGGCATATGGTTCACATTTTAAGTGTGCCTGCCAAAGGGTTCCCTATATTATATAATATACTAATCCTAATATTATTTTGCAATTGTATATTATGGACACAATAAATTTCCAATGCTATTGTACTGGATTTCCAATGCTACTATACAAATTACACATCTTTTTATTCCTCTTCACTATCCTTTAATTAATTTACATTATTAATTGATTTATTTGATTTCGTTGAATTGTTTAATTACTCAAGATTTGAAATTAATTTATAACTTTTTTGCTCAAATTCTTGTTTTGTTTAATTTTTTTCCCTTCATATTTGTTAGTGTTGAAATGGAGGATGGTATAATGGATGATGGTGGACTTGAGGGATGTATTGAAGAAATGAGAGAGTTGGTCAAGGATAAATCACCGTATCTCGATATGGAGTTTCCATCAGAAGAAATTGCATATGAGTTTTATAATGAATACAGAAGAATTGTGGGGTTTTGTATTAGAAAAGATTATTGTAACAAAAGCAAGAAAAATGGCGTTATGACTAGTAGAAAGTTTGTTTGCTGAAAGAAGGGAGAGAAGGGAAAAGAAAAACGGTACACGATGATAAAAAATCCTCGAAGTGAGACAAGAACAAATTGTAATGCATTCATGCATATATCTTTTAAGCAGGACTTGTCGAAGTGGATTGTGTCAAAGTTTGATAACAACCACAATCATCTTTTTCATCTTCCTCAATGTATTCATTTGATTTCATCTTAGAGAAAGGTACGTGATGCTCAGGGTATGAATATTGATATAGCTGATGATACTGGAATATCTCTTAAGGCTTTACATGATCTTATTAGTGTTATAGTAGGAGAGAAGGAATTTGTAGGGTTCATGCGGGAGGATCAGAAAATGTACTTATGTGCAAAAAAACAGTGAAACTTGCAGTACGGTGAAGCAGGGAGTCTGTTAAGATATTTCTAGCAGCAAGTGGCAGAAAATCCATATTTTTACGATGCCAATCAGTTGGATGTAAATGAGATGATTACTAATATTTCTTAGGCTGATCATCAGATGATAACAGATTATGGGCTTTTCAGTGATACTGTGTCATTTGACACAACTTTTTGAACAAATAAGGAGTACCGTCCACTTGCTTTATTTTCTGGCTTTAACCACTTTAGAATGACAATGATTTTTGGTGCAACATTATTGTATGATGAAACTGCAAAGTCATTTGAATGGTTATTTGAAACTTTTTTGGATGCAATGTTAGGAAAAAAGCCTAATAGTTTTTTCACAAACCAAGATCAAGCAATGGCTAAGGCAATTTCACAAATCATGCCTGAGGTTTTTCATGGGTTATGCACTTTTCACCTAATGCAAAATGCTTTAAGCATTTAGGTTACTTGTTCAAGAGTGGTTCAAAATTTATTAGTGATTTAAAAGCTTGCATTTATGACTACAAGAATGAGCATGCATTAATTGAAGCTTGGAATTCTTTGATTGATAAATACAACTTGTAAGAGAATGAGTGGATGGAAAGAACTTGGAGAAAAAGAGAGCAGTGGGCACACATGTATATGAAGTGCACATGTATATGAAGTGGGTATTTACTGGAGGAATGCAAGGCACACAACTTAGTGAAAGTCTGAATGGAACATTAAGGGGATATTTGAAAAGGTGATCATAACATTGTTCAATTCTTTACTCACTTTAATTAGATTGTTGTAGATAAGCGATATGAGGAAGTTTCTGCAATAAATGATTCTCGACAAAAGTTGCCTAGAATGAAATTGAAAAAGTCTCCCATTTTAATCTAGGTTGCGAATTTCTACACCCCCCTCCCTATCTTTGACTTATTTCATTATAAGTTGGATACATCCCTTTGTTGTTAAGTGAAGCAATTCCATGAGTTAGAAACAGAAGTTAAGTGCGTGATTGGCTTGTATGGTAATGATGAAGAGTATATTGTGGTGGGTAGGGTGGAAGTTACTGGGCTAAGAGGAGAAAAAAGTTGTCAAGAAATACATTGTACTTGTAAGAAATTTGAGAACTTTGGAATTTTATGTAGTCATGCAATCAAAGCACATGATAGAATAAACTTTATGGAAATTCCCGAAAGATATATATTAGGCCGATAGAGATTGGATGCAAAAGATTGCGAAGTTGAAGAGGAAAATGTTATAGTGGATGACAATGATCCGAAGTTGTTAATA